AAAAATGCCAAGATTTAAGAAAGGATTCAAAAGAAATTACGTGGCCATGTCATACACTGGAGCAGCAATGCAATCGTTTAGGGACTACAGAAATCTTGAAGCAGGTTTTACTGGATGAACATAAGGATACTTTGAAAGATGAAGAAAGTTGTGTAAAATATCTAAAAGAAAAGTGTAATAAATGGTCTAGAAGAGGCGATGACCGTTTCTCTTTTGTATGTGTCTTCCAAAATGCTACGTGTGAGCTGATGGTAAAAGACGTACAAGATAGGTGCAAAGTATTCAAGAAAAATATAGAGGTTGCAGAGATCGTTGAGTTTCTTAAAAATAACACGAATAACATAACAACATTAGGAAATGTTTGCCCATTTTGGGACCCATATTGTGACAAATTTTCACCTAATTGCCAAAGTCTTAAAGGAAATACTTGTACAAAAATTAAAAAACATTGTAAACCATTTTATGAAAGAAAGGCTTTAGAAGACGCACTTAAGGCAGAGCTTCGAGGAAAGTTGAGTGATAAAAAGAAATGTACTACAGCATTGGAGGGATATTGTACACAATTAGGAAAATTAAATAATGAATCTATCAGAAGTTTATGTAAAGATAACACCAAGAATAACCCTAAGAAGAATGATGAAGATGTTAGGAAGGAGCTCTGTGATAAATTAGTAGAAGAGGTAGAACAGCAATGTAAAGTATTACCAAAAGAACTAGAACAACCAGAAAAAGACTTAGAAGAAGATCATAAGACATATGAAGGACTTAAGGAAAAGGCAAAGAAAGCAATGAACAAGTCCAATCTTGTTTTATCATTCGTTAAAAAAGACGGGAATAATACATCGAAAAATAATAGCAAAAAGGATAAGAATGCCGTTTCAAACGGACTTCAAGATACCACAGAACATGTGAAAATACTACGGAGAGGAGTTAAGGATGTACTTGTGACAGAATTGGAAGCCAAAGCATTTGATTTGGCAGCAGAAGTATTTGGAAGATATGTAGATTTGAAGGAAAGATGTGAGAAATTGGAATCGGATTGCGGGATTAAAGACGATTGCGATGGTTTAAAAGAAGTGTGTGGAAAGATTGAGAAGACATGTCGCGATCTGAAGCCTCTGGAGGTGAAGTCGCACGAAATAGTCACAGAAAGCACAACGACGACCACGACGACAACAACAACCGTTACCGATCCGAAGGCAACAGAATGCAAATCCTTACAGACAACAGACACATGGGTTACACAGACATCGACACACACAAGCACGTCTACCATCACATCTACGATTACATCAAAAATAACACTCACATCAACGAGGCGGTGCAAACCAACCAAGTGTACGACAGGGGATGATGCAGAGGACGTGAAGCCGAGTGAGGGATTGAAGATGAGTGGGTGGAATGTGATGAGGGGGGTGATAGTAGCAATGGTTATTTCGTTCATGATTTAGAAAGCAAATGAGCAAGATTTAATGATGAGCATGTATATTTAGTAAATAAACGAGCAGGGTAGGACAGGAAAGAGTAAAGTAGATTGAGTCATCTCTTCAGCATCAATTGAAAGTGCATTACACATGAAATCACGTGTTCCTTATCTAATTGGCCACTATTCTTTGTCTAAATAGCCTTTATTTCTGTATATATTGCTTTTTTGCAATCCATTTACCACATTGATTTTTACGTTTATCTCGCGTTTACCCCGCATTTACCCCACACAAATTTAAAGTATCGCGAAGCAGCCCAACTAGCAGGCAGCGGGCACCTCTTAAATATATTTGTACACATAATACCTGTCTATCACAAGCTTTATTTCACTTTTTACTTGAACTCCCTTAAAATTAATTAAAAATAATCTAATACTTGACTTAAATATGGAAACATAACTCTAATATCACATGCAACCGAAACACGTTAATGGAAACCCAAACTCAGCCACACACCACAGCGCAGCCCACCCCCGTCAGGCACAGCTTGGCGCGGGCGGTGGCGCGGGCGGTTAAGCGGCAGGCAAAAGCGGCGCAAGGAGCTAGTGTATATGAAGAAGAAGAGTATCTTTTGGCTTTGATTGCAAAAGAAGATGTTAAAAATGATAAGAAATGCAAAGACAAAGTGGAAAAATACTGTAAAGAACTAAAAGATTCCAAACTAGAACCAAGAAAGATACATAAAAAACTTGAAAGTTTCTGCAAAAATGGTGAAGCGGAAAAAAAATGCACAGAATTGAAAACCAAGGTTGAAGAAAAATGTACTAAATTCAAAACACAACTTACTGAAGTTATCAAAAAAGAAAATTCAGAATTAACAAATAATATTTGCAAAGAAAATGAACGGCAATGTTTGTTTTTGGAAGGAGCATGCTCTACAGAACTTAAAAATGATTGCAATAGTTTGAGAAATAAGTGCTATCAAAAGAAGCGTGATGAAGTAGCAGAAGAAGCTCTTTTAAGAGCGCTCAGTGATGATCTTAAAGATACAAAGACATGTAAAGGAAAAATTAAGGATGTTTGTCGTACATTGGGTCAAGAAAGTAACGAGTTGATGCAAAGATGCTTCGATACAGACTCTTTATGCACATCTTTAGTAAAAACAGCAGAAGAAAAGTGTAAATTTTTGAAGAAAGAAATAGAGAATGTATTAAAACCTAATGGAGAGTTGCAAAAAAAAGGGCATTCTTTGCTTAAAGAATGCCACTTTTATGGACAAAACTGCAAAAGTTCAGATAAACCAGAATGTGAAAAACTTGTAAATAAAGCTAAAGAAAAAAAGATTACCTACAAAAAACCAAATTCAGACTTTGATCCTACAAAAACAAAAACTACAATTGCGGAAAAAATAGGTTTGGAAGAACTTTATAAGGAAGCAGCAGCACAAGGAGTTCTGATTGGAAGAGTACTAGAAGGAGATATTGTTGATTTATTAGTGTTTTTGTCAGGGAAGAAGTCTTTTAGTGAGACTCAATGCAAGGAAGTGTTCACTACTAAATGTGATTCTATTAAATATTTGGCAGAAAATATAGAAAAATTATGTGGAAATAAAACAGAACGTGAAAATAGATGTAAAGAATTTGATGAAGAATTTAAAAAAAAAAAGAATACATTAACTGCAAAACTTGAAAACAGTCAATTTGAAGATGAGATTGCATTATGGGATGGATTACCAACTTTCCTTACTGAAAATGAGTGCACAAGATTACAGTCAGATTGTTTTTATTTTGGAGGTCAAACGTCTTTTGAAAAACGATGCAATAATGTTAGGCTAGGGTGTTATAAAAGAGGGCGTGACGCACTTGCAAATCAAGCATTACAAGACAAACTGAGAGGGAATTTTCATGACAGAAACGATAAATGGCCTGAGACGCTTCAAAAAGAGCTGGTAAAAGTATGCATGGGTCTGGAAGGAAAAAGCGATGAGTTATTTGTGTTATGTGTGCAACCGATAGAAGGATCCTATGTATTATTATCAGATTTACATATAAAAACAGATTTATTACAGAAAAATTTGAACGAAAAGCGGGATTTTCCTACGAAGCGGGATTGCAGGGAATTGCAAAAGAAATGTAATGATCTAAAACAAGACTTTGAGGAACTTGAGTGGCCTTGTCTTACGCTGAAACACCATTGCAATCGATTGAATATTACAGAACAATTAGAAGAAAGGTTCTTGGAAGAAAAGGTGAAGGATTTGGACAAATTGGATTCATGTTTAAAAAACCTGAAAGAACAATGTCATAAATGGAGTAGAAGAGGAAGAACGCAGTTTGCATTCACATGTGTAGCGCAGAATATTACTTGCAAGATTCTTACAGAAAGTGTAGGGTCTAAGTGTACTACATTGGAAGCGCGCATCGAAGCAAGTGATGTTATAAATCAAGCAAATAAAGATGACAAGAAGGAAACGATTTGTAGCTCCTGGGCACCCTATTGCAGCAAGTTTATCTCAAGTTGTCATAATTTAACGACTGCTGGTGGTGGAAAATGTGAAAAGCTTAATGAGGAGTGTAAATCATTTATTGAAAGGAAAGATTTGGAGGAAAAAGTAGTCTATGAATTAAAGGGTAGTTTAAAAACGAAGCAAGAGTGTCAGAATACACTTGACAAATATTGCACACAATGGACAAATGCAAAAAATAAGCTTAAAACTTTATGTACTGATACTACTAATGGCAAGAACAACACTGAAGTTAGAAAAAAACTTTGCAAAAAATTAGTGGAACGAGTGAAAAGTCAATGCCCTGAATTGCAGAAAAAACTTGCAGAGGCCAATAAAGAGCTGGAGAAGAAAGCCAGCAAATATGAGAATATCAAAAAAGAAGCAGAAGATGCAATGAAAAAAGCAAGTCTTGTTTTATCAAAAGCAAAAGCAGAAAACAATAAATCAGAAAACGAAGTTGTGCCTAGTGTACCAGCCGCACCTAGTGGAAAAGACACGAAGCCGTTTAAACTTATAAGAAGAGATGCAACAGCGAAGGTAACAGAAGACGAAGCGAAAGCATTTGATTTGGTTGCACAAGCATTTGGACTCTATGTAGAGTTAAGGGAGGAGTGTCAAGATTTACTAAAGGGATGTGGATTTAAAAAGGAATGTAGTTGTGAAAATCAATGTGAGAAAATAGAAAACACATGTAAAAAATTGAAACCATTGGAAGTGAAACCCTATAAAATAGAGACAGTAACTAAAAACATAACAACGACAACGACGACAACGACAACAAAGACAGAGGGAGAAGGAAAGACGGCAGAGTGCCAGTCTCTGCAGACAACAGACACGTGGGTCACAAAGACGTCTACGCATACCAGCACGTCCACGACCACATCCACGGTCACCTCAAGAATAACACTCACATCAACAAGGCGGTGTAAGCCTACGAAGTGTACGACAGGAGAGGAGGATGAAGCAGGGGAAGTGAAGCCGAGTGAGGGGCTGAGGATGAGTGGGTGGAGTGTGATGAGGGGGGTGCTAGTGGCAATGATGATTTCATTCATGATTTAAAAAGCAAATGGGCAGGATTTAATAATGGGCATGTATATTTACTAGATAAGAAGGCAGGGTAGGAGAGGAAAGAGTAGACATGATCTCTTCAGCATCAATTGAAAGTGCATTACACATAAAGTAGCGTGTTCCCAGTGCAAATAGCATGTATTGCCCGGATGAGTGGCCGCTGTTTGTTGTGCCATGTCGTTATCAGCGCATTCAGCGCCTACCCCGGATTTGCCCCACATGGA